CGTCAAAATCTCCCCTGCTTTGAAGGATTTGACATACATAGTCCTTCTACCTCGCCTTCAAGCTGGCTAAGCCTTGGGTGATCTGTTGGTTTGTAGGCTTGTCCTAGCCTAAATTGAAGTTGAAGATGAACCGCTTCTGTCGACTTTTTCTCGTAGAGGTCTTTTAACTCCTCTGTGGTCGCATCTTCGACCATAAATTGTGGTGCTCCTTCTTCTGAAGCGACCGATCCTTGTTCTGATGTATCATGATCCAACACGTCCTCTGGGTTCCTTGGATCCCTGGGTTCCCATGTCTTGAAATCCTATCTTATCCTGGATTCCTGGTTTGCCTTCCCTGGGAAGGGCTTAGCACGTCTTCAATGTGTGCCTCAGATGAGAACTTCTCTTGTTCCAGCGTCCGATATGATAAACCTGTAAAAACCTGTAAAAACTGTTTGCCTCAGATGAGGGCTTCTCTTGTCAGCACAATTGGAATCTGGCTTGGAATTCTCCAGTACCACGCAGTGTACCCTATCAGATTCTTTCTTGACTCGATTGTCAGTGCAATTGGAACTCAGCTTGGAATTCTCCAGTACCACGCAGTGTACCCTACCAGGTTCTTCCTTGTTTTGACGTCTGATGTATCTTCCTATCCAGCACCTTACTTGTCAAGGATGGGGCTCAGGCCTGATACTGCCTTTTGTTCTGAATGGCCCTAAACCGTGTTCAGAATTGTGTTTAGCTGGGTATGATGCCCCGCTGCTCACTATTTTGAGTGATCAGCTAATCATCTCGGAATCCTGCCTACTCCCGTTGGAGCACTTGGTGTTTTCTAGGCTGTTGATTTCCTCTTCTTGGTGCCCTATAATCAATCTTCCTTCCTATCCATGTCTCCTCGATTAAAAACCGGACTTGGCAAGGGGTGGGTGCCTTCTTTCGGTGGCCCTTAACCGGCGTCTTCTGTGTATCCAGCACCTCCAGTGAGGATGGGGCTCAAGTCGACACTGCCTCAGCAGATGACTTGCTGCAACAAGCACCCAGGTTCTGCTTCTCTGATAGATACTCCTGTCTAGGTGTCCAATCTCTGTTCTCCCTAAGTGGTGTGTTGACTGCAGTGCACACCGAGTTCCCTGGAATTGGTAACCTCTGTTGAGAACTTCTTTCCATCGTGTCAAGGTGTCTGATCCCTGTTCTCCCTGTGGGGTCTCTTCTTATTATACTGGAGAGTTCACCCAGTTGAGCATCTTCTTTCTATCGAGCCTCCTTCAGCGTAAAGACTCCACTTCTTCTAAGTGGTTCTAGACCTGAATAGGTTGACCTAAAGGAAACCTCTTCCTAATGTTATGAAGTGTTCTGTCAGAACCTTCCTAACCATGTGCCCTTACAGCACGTGCTAGCTCCCTCATTGAATGTTATAGTATGGTCCATCCTAGGAGTGTGCAGCAGTGAGGTTTGGGCACTCTGCTCTTTGCTAGGTCACTGAAGGCTACTGCACATTCACCCGCAGGTTACTAGGTTCACCCTCTGATGTCTAGACAAACGCACGAGCTTGAATATCCCTTGAGAGTGAGTGCAGATCCCTTCTGATCCATTAGAATCAGAAGTATCAAGAAAGCTTCTTGTCAAGAAGGGTTCTAGTGAAAGAACGGGTCTTAGAAACAAGGAGGAAGAGGTTAGTCTTCTCTCTGTGATCCGTGCCCCTTATATAGTTGCAGACCTATAGTCTGGGGTACTAGTACAGGGGGTCCCACTATCCTAAAGATAGATAAAACACCAGAGCTTAACTGCTGTGAGCCAGGTAACTGGTGAGCTAAGAAAAGCATAGGTGAAATAGAAAACCTAGAACGAAGTCTGGATTACAAATACCAGAGTGATTCTAACTGTGAAAACAAAAAACTGCTAACCCTAAAATACGTTCACCAGACCTATGAACCATAAATAGTAAGTGTCACGTGCAACGTAAACTGTCACATGACCATGAAGCACTGAAATTGTAACAGTGATGAACAAGCGAAAGAAAAGAATGCATATAGTTGCACTTCTTCAAGAGGAATGCCTCCAATGAATATTTGATTGCACTCACTGACATGCATAAACAGTTGAACCAGACATATGCTGCCTACACTAATATGAAGGCAAAGTTTCATGCGAAACATAGACTATGATAGCACAATCAGCACACTGGTTGACAAAACAAGGAGGATGGTAACTTCTGCATTGGACAACTCCAACTGTCCCTCAATCTCATCTAATTGACATCTCACATTAATAGAAGGGATGTACAATATATCTAAAGGTTGCAAGACATGGCTCTTTTGCCAATCTTCGAAATTGCATAACTGTTCTTTCTCCAGCTCTTCATCACCTAGAAGAGAGTCATTGATGACACGAAAAGGAAGTCAGAGAATATTTACATCAAAATTCATCTGAAAGACAATAGTGAGTAAGGCAGGGAGCAGATTGCATAACAAGATAAATAGAAGGAGCAGAGAAAAAGGAAGGCATAAGGCAGAGATCTGTGATAGAGAGAGCAGCAGTAAAAGTTAAGGATAAACCTTCAGATGGTGTCTGCAGGGACAATTCATTCTCCATGTTTGTCACATATTTTCACCATAAAGTCCACATGTGACTTTACTCATGCCACAGATCATGTGCTTCACCAATATCTCATGCCACTCAGCCACAGACATGATGCGTAGAGATCAGGTGATAGTCCACATCACATATTACAGTCCAGACCTGTGGATGATATGGTCAGACCAGTCTATTCCAGGATACAATAAGAGGCACCCATTCAGAAATGAAGGGAACAAGGACTATTGTTAGGGATCATCTAGGCAATTGGCTCAAGGTAAAGCCATTACCACGATAGGATGGATCGTCTCACCATTATTATAGATGAAGACAGATCTTCTCACCTATTGTTCCACTTACAGATAGATCTTCCTACTTATTGTTCCGTGTATAGTTTAGTTGTGTAGACACATAGATAGCCAATATCATCTCTCATAGTAGTCAGCACCTGTACACATATATAAGACCAGCATGTAGAGAACGAAACTTCAGATTGTTTCTCCTCATCTACCACTGTAGCGACCACTGAGCCTACCAGCTCCATCATATATCTATCATACTTTCCATACGCTTGCTGCACAGCCAGTAAGTGTTAGGCTCTTCAGCCACTTTAGGGATCAGGGGGATCATGGCAGCACGTTCTATGTGACCGTTCCTTTTTTAGTCTTTTGATCTCTTGTCCAGTGTCGCTGTGACATTAGAAACAATCTGACAATTTTCTATGCCCCTGCTTAGTGTTTAACACAAGTGGTCATGTATTTTCAGCACAAGCAGTTTCAGCCGTAGCGTGCAGCTTTTTTGACACACATTCCAATCCGATATCTATCAGGTGTGAGCCTCAGCAAGACTCTGAGTAGTCCAAGGCAGCCAAGTGAAACGCCACACCTAGAATTGACCTCGACGCCTACTCCAAGCATTAAGAGACAAACAAGGAGTGTGGAAGACTCCTTATGCTCACATCTTTAGGCACCTCCTCCACAGACAGACAGCAAGCAGCAGCAAGGGTTATAGACACTACCCACATTATACAGCATGGAATCATCTGCCACCCTTGTAGTCACACTCCACTGCTCGAATGCTACAAGCCCAAATGAGGATGCCTCACCACCGGTGGTCGCAAACCAGCACCACCTGCAGAGCTCATCACATCCAACGCTGTTCCTCTTCCCATCATTGCTTCCATCCCAGTTTGACCCCTTCTGAACTTTATAAAGACCAACACTGTTGCTCATCCCATTTGTCTGCTCCCATCTAGAGTCAGGCTGATGATCCACATCAAAACCCTCACCAAGCAGGTAGATGCTACCTGTTTCAGGCTCCAGCCCATACTAGGAGCATTCACGTATTGCCTCAAAGATGAGCACCAGGGACCACTGTTCTGCCTCACCACAGAACTAGACAAGATCTGCACCGATCTACATACAGGCACATGCACCTACATATTTGTCTAGAAGCAGGTCATCAACACGGTCTGTCTGGAGATAGAAAGCATCAGCTTCAAGCAGATAGAGAAAGAGGAGAGACTGCAGGAGATGGTCAAAGCTTTGGTCAAGATCGCAGAGAAGTGATACTTGAACTTTTTGTATTAGACACATCTCTTTTACCACACAATGTCAGACACCAGTTGAGTGCACATGTCTACGTTCAGGCAAAGAATGGAGGATGTACTCCGGCCAAACATCGACACAACGCACGACGGAAAAACCTCTCATGCTTCCAGACTGCTGTCACCTGGGCTCAACCCCCAGAACTCTGCATCACAACTTGGAGGACAATTGTCTTCAACCCCATCACTTCTTCCCACCTACATACCTCTCACATGGTCATATGACAGAAACCAATATGAGTGTCTTAAAGATGCCATTAGACAGTTCACACCCAGCAAAGTCCCTGACAACATTCACGAATGGGTAATCATCATCGTGAAGTCAATGGTCGACAATGAGCTCAAGAAAATGTACAATGTGCTCGGCGACAAGATGTACGAGCAGAAGAGAATTCTTGAGGCCTTGATTGCATCAGCTCAGACAGAGCGATGACTTAAAGAGGCAGTACTCAAATCTGAGAATGAGAAACTCTCAGACAAAATCAAGGCTCAGGATGCACACATGGTTGTCCTCAATGATGAGATCTCAGGAACCCAGGGAGCCATGTTGGACATGGGAAAAGAAATGATGATGATCAAGGTCAAAAACATCAAGTTACAGCATGAGTTAGCTTCACTCAAAGCAAGCGACATCTCGACGGTGCAAGGTCATGCCTCCAGCATGGTCCAATCGCACAAACCACATGTCAAGATAGCCGAACCTCTACACTACTCGGGCAAAGGAAGTCTGAAGAACTGGCTCTAACAACTCGGCATCTGGATGCGGTGAAATGAAATCAACGATGATGAGTGAAAGATTACCACGGCACTACTGCACTTGGAAGGCGGTGCATTCACTTACATGTCAGAATACACAACCAAGGCAGTGGCACAGCAATCACTTGGCACTTGGGAAGATTTTGTTGACATTCTCAAAGTAAACTACAGGACCCTCAACCTGGACAAAGATGCGCAACAGCATTTGAAGGAGATCTGCCCAAAGACCTACCCCACGATGGTCTCCTTTGCAGAGAAGTTCTGCTAATGGGCCACCAAGACCAACTTGGGGCACACTGCACTTATCGGTTACATTGCTGAACACAGAGACAAGGATGTACACCAGGCAATGGTAACACGAGACAGCTTAGGTATCACTGACCTGACCACATGGCTGGAGTATCTTGACCTATGTCTCCAACTTGAGTCTAAGTTCAGAGCTGACAAAGCAGGACAACATGGAACAACAACAACATCATCATCATTGCAGGCACCACGAGCTCAGAAAGACCCTAATGCAATGGATGTGGATCATGTGTCTCAACTCACCAAGGAACAGGAAGGCTGGCTGGAAAAGAAGCTCTGTGTACATTGCGAAAAACACCCCTTCATATTCAAGCAACACTGCCCGGACCCCAATTATAAAGGCAAATTCGAAATGCCAAAGTGGGGCCAGGCAACCAGGGCAATATCCACACCAGTGGCATCAAGCAGTTTCGATGACAGCAAGGCAAGAGAGGAAGCAGTCTGTGCTTTTCTCACCAACTACAACACAAAGGACAAGGAGGCAGAACTGGAACCAACTGTCAAAACAGCTAGGATCACGAAGATGGAAAGCGATGAGGATTTTCTTCAGCAGGTTCTCTGAGGTCTGGTCAGAGTTCCCATAGACATTGTAGTAGTACCTACTCACTCTCGCATGTACCAGTATCAAGTTTTCTCTATATTGCATCAACTGGTTTGTCAAAACATGCGATCGATTTACCTGTTCACCTCAAACAGGGAGTAAGGGAAGTCCAGACTGAGGTGCTCCTCGATTCAGGAGCATATTCTTGTTACATCAACCCACAGCTGGTTGATCAGCTGAATCTTGCTATAATCTCTCTTGAAAAGGAGATCAGAGTTTACAATGCAGACACATCTCACAACAAGGGTGGAACTAATAAGAAAAGGGTTCTTCTCAGTATAACTATCGGAAACTACACAAGCAGACAAAGCCTTCTAGTTACCGATATAGGTCACAAGGACATTATACTAGGCATGAGTTTCCTCAAAGAGCACAATCCTGAAGTAGATTGGGGAAAACTCACAATTGAATTCACCTGATGCCCATACAAATGTGCACCCTCACAGGTAGCAGTCCAGGAGGAGGACCTGGAAGACACAAACATCCTTCACATTGAAGACTTAATGGAGTTCATCAGTTCCCAGGAGTTAGGTGATAACTGGAATGACATGGACAGCTTCATTAAATGGGTATCATTATCAGAAGACCCTGACGCACAAGCTGTAGCATCACTCATTATAGGTTTTGATACCAGGTTTTGATACCAAGAGGAACCAGCATAGAACACCGCAGAACAGAGAACAGGACAAAGACTACTGGTCAGCCTATGTCCTCAAACACTTCCATGAGTATGGTGATGTGTTCTTCAAGAAGCAGTCAGAATGAATGCCCACAAGAAAGCCCTACGATCATCTAATCGAACTTGTTTCAGAGGCATCGTTACCACACCCGGCAAAGCTATACCCTATGAACCTGCAGGAAAAAAATTCGCTCGACACATGATTAGATCAAGAGTTGGCCAAAGGATACATAAAGAGATCAAGAAGTCCAACAGCAGCACCCATTTTCTTCATCAAAAAGAAGGATGGTTCACTGAGGCTAGTACAAGATTACAGGAACCTCAATGCAGTAATCAAGAAAAACAGGTTTCTGATCCCACACATCTCGGACCTCATTGACAGGCTCTCACAAGCTAGCATATTTACAAAGCTTGATCTGAGATGGGGTTTCAACAACATAAGGATCAGGGTGGGAGACAAAGAAAAAGCCACCTTCATTACACATCGCGGACTCTTCGAACTCACTGTAATGTACTTCAGTTTCTGTAACGCCCCTAGTACCTTCCAGACAATGATGAATACAGTCCTTGAAGATGTAATTCACACTGGAAAGGTAGTAGTCTACTTAGACGACATCCTCATATTCACGGACGATCTCAAAGAACACTGACAACTAGTAAAAGCGGTTCTACAGTGTCTCCAGGACAACAACTTATATGCTAAACTGGAGAAATGCTTCTTTGAACAGTCCTTAATTGAGTATCTTGGTATGATCATCAGCAAGAACTCAGTACAGATGGACCCTGCTAAAGTTGAAGGCATCCTTGGTTGGCCAGCACCTACAAAGGTCAAACAAGTACAGGCCTTTTTAGGATTTGCGAATTTCTACAGGCAATTTATAAAGAATTTTGCAAAACTCACATGACCTTTAATGCTACTCACCTGTAAGGATGTGCCCTGGCAATGGAAGGAAGAGCAAGACCAAGCCTTCAGTGCACTCAAAATGGCATTCACCTCAGCCCCAATTCTACAACTCCCCAACGATACTGCACCATATTGTCTGGAAACTGATTCTTCAGACTATGCAACTGGGGCAGTACTCGAACAACTGGGAGAAGACAAGCTATGGCATCCAGTCACATACTACTCCAAATTACTCAATGAACATGAGAGAAACTACAAGATTTATGACAAGGAGATGCTTGCAATTATTTGGGCACTAGAAGAATACTGGCACTATCTAGAAGGACACCCAGAACCCATTGAGATTTGGTCAGATCATCTCAACCTTACATACTTCTGCCAGGCACAAAAGTTATCCCAGCACCAAGCGCGCTAATCATTATTCCTCACACATTTTAATTTTATACTCAGTCACTGACCTGGAAAGACAATGCTACATGCTGATCCTCTGTTCAGGAGGCCAGACCATGAGAGGGGGGTAAACAGCGACAATTTCAATCAAATGCTGTTACAACCTGAATTTTTCGCTATCAATGCAATTTGACCCACTCACACATCTGAAGTTGATGATGCTCAACTATTGGAAAGGATCAAGAAGGCACTCACAGATGACATGATGATCAAGGATTATCGTGCACTTTTGACTACAGGACAGCATGAATTTGGGAAAAACCTCACAGAATGGAACTTTGAGCACAGACTGCTGCTCTATTGTGGAAAGGTTTATGTCCCCAAAGATCAACAGCTATGCCTTGATCTAATAAAGCTTCACCATGACACACTACCAGCCTGACACCCAGGCAGGTTCAAAACATTGGAGCTCATTACTCAGAATTATTGATGGCCAGGAATGTCTGTAATGATAAAACAATACATATGAGGCTGTGACAGTTGTCAATGCAACAAGTACTTGAGAGAGAAACCATATGGACTACTACAACCCAATGATGTACCAGGAGGACCATGGGAGATCATCACAGTCGATCTCATCACACAACTTCCTCTAGCCATGGACTTTAGGGGAGAAAAGAAGATGACAATACTTGTCGTCATAGACAGACTCATGAAACGAGTGCACTTCTATGCAACAGATAACACAGTCACCTCATCACAAGTCACTAACATATTCTATAACGAAGTGTTCAAACTCCATGGATTACTGCACCAGATTATCTCAGACAGAGGTACTCAATTTGCAAGTAAACTATTCCAGGAGTTCTGCCAGAAGCTCAGTATAAAGTCTACAATGTCTACAGCATATTACCTCCAAACAGATGGTCAGATGGAAAGGATTAACCAAGTGCTGGAACAGTATCTCTGCATGTACTGCAACCACAGACAAAATGATTGGGTCTACTATCTGTCAATGGCAGAATTTTCATACAACAACCAGACCCATGAGTCCACTGCACTTTTCCCATTCTTTGTCGAATATGGCCGACATCCAAAAATGGCACCAGATGTACATGAATCAATATGTCACCCTTCATTGAAACATCTATTCGCTCACCGATCTGAGGTGCAAGAACAGGCTAAGGCAGCATTGGAAGTTTCGGCTTCACGAATGAAATGGTACTTTGACTAGAAAAAGGGAGAAGTCCCATTCAAAGTCAGAGACCTAGTACTACTTAAGGGAAAAGACCTCAGAGTAAAAGTCAAATCTGCGAAGTTAGGCACACAAAACTTCGGACCTTACAAAATACTTCAGAAGCTAGGCCCAGTCACGTTCAAACTGGAATTGTGCAAGCAAATGAAGGTTCACCTGGTCTTCCATGCCAGCAAGTTGATCATGTACCATCAAGACACAGTCGCAAACTGTGAAACCCCCAAAACCTCCAGCCATAAAAATCGAAGGAGAATCAGAACTTGAAGTTGAAGAAATTCTAGACTCTAAGATCGTGAGGGGAAGGGTCCAATACCTCATCAAATGGAAAGGCTATGACCATTTCAATGATGCATGGGAACCCTGAACAAATCTCACCAACATCAACAAGCTTCTTCAAGAATTCCACCAACAACACCCAGATGCAGCCAAAGCACCAATCAGGGTAGTTATATTTGGTGGAAAATGCTTTGAACTATCCTCATATGAAGTTTCACCCAAATTCACACACAGAATCAACATGTCTGACCACCCAGACAAGTTCTTCTTATATCATTAAATGACAGATCTCACCAAATCACCAAAAAACTCCTCCAATGAAGCAGCCAGATGAAATATTTATGCAGCAGAGATGCATGAAATCCCTCCACACTTACAAGCTGTTGTAGGAACTAGAGTCACCATTGACCCTCCCAAACATACCTACACACAAATAGCTCCACGAAGTGGACTGGCTGCTTGAGGAATTGATGTGGGCACAGAAGTCGTTGATCCAGATTACACTGGAAAACTCAAGGTCGTACTGATCAACACAACAGATTTTGTATTTTCAGTTAAGCCAGGAGACAGGATAGCCAAAATAATCTTTGAGTATTATGCAGAAGGGCTCCCCTCCAGAAGCTACCAACTGTTGCGAGCAACGAGAAGGAGAAATAAAGGTTCTGGCTCCTCGGGACAATGAGCCTTGAGAGGGGGGTAGTGTCACAGATTTTTGCTACAAAGTCTGCACGTGACTTTATTCATGCCACAGATCATGTGCTTCACCAATATCTCATGCCACTCAGCCACAGACATGATGCGTAGAAATCAGGTGATAGTTCACATCACATGTTATGGTCCAGACCTGCAGATGATACAGTCAGACCAGTCTATTCCAGGATACAATAAAAGGCACCCATTCGGGAACAAAGGGAACAAGGACTATTGTTAGGGATCATCTAGGCAATTGGCTCAAGGTATAGCCATTATCACGATAGGATGGATCATCTCACCATTATTATGGATGAAGACAGATCTTCTCACCTATTGTTCCACTTATGGATAGATCTTCCTATTTATTGTTCTGTGTATAGTTTAGTTGCATAGACACATAGATAGCCAATAGCATCTCTCATAGTAGTCAGCACCTGTACACATATATAAGACCAGCATGTAGAGAACGAAACTTCAGATTGTTTCTCCTCATCTACCACTGTAGCGACCACTGAGCCTACCAGCTCCATCATATATCTATCATACTTTCCATACGCTTGCTGCACAGCCAGTAAGTGTTAGGCTCTTCAGCCACTTTAGGGATCAGGGGGGATCAGGGTGGCACGTTCCACGTGACTGTTCCTTTTTTAGTCTTTTGATCTCTAGTCCAGCATCACTGTGACAATGTTCAAATATGATGTGTGTGAGTAAAGTTACATAAAAGGGCCATGGACAGCAGATGACTGGGTGAGAAAGGCAGAGACAATGAAAGATGGGCACAGCACAGCTTAAACGTATTTTCATTACATGATCATACCTGTCGAGGCAGACAGAGTTTTCCATCGCATCGCTGATGGATATCAGAGAATCATGTGGAGATACAAGATTGATTGAGGGAGAGCAGGCACTGAGTGAATGAACTTTCAAGGAGCCAGACAGAAAAATGTTACTGTTACGATAACCATTATGTCAGGGGTAAGATCACATGAACAAAACATTATATTAGCATTACATCAGGGATGAAACATTACATTTACCATTATGTGCAGGCAAGTTTGAGTGGCATCAAGGAGTGTGAATGGTGGTTCAAGAGGTAGACAGAACATCAAGTGCACAAGACAGTGAGCATACCAGGCTAGTCACAGAGGGCAAACTGTGTGGTCGAGGTATATGGCAGAAAAGTCAGCACCTATGAATGCTATTACAGGTGTGCACAAAAGGACAGGTGCACACATGATGCAAAAAGAACAGTAAGTGGTCTATAAGATCTTATGACATCAGAACAAGAATGGCCACACAGGCCAGCAATGACTAGCCTGCATGAGGAAGAGTTAACCATGCATGAGATGTTGGAATGGAGCTCACAAGCCAGCAACCACTAGCTTGCATGAGAGATCCAGTACATTTGTGATTGCATATATATACCATGTACATTGTATAAAAAATCGAAATGCTTCATATGCAATATATGTCATACTCAATGCTGCATTATATTGATAGCTGCCACCACTGTGCTGTGAGTGTATGCAAGGAATTGATTGCAACACTCTACTTGTGCAACCTTTTTATGGAGTTTCTGTGCCCTTTCTTTCTTCATAAAAGGCTGCCAGGTACCTGCCATGCATGATGATAAAATGGTTTGATATCACTGCTTGGCTTCCACATGCCAAAATCTGACATTGAAGTGACTCTTGCACCATACTGATAGAGGAGATATGCGAGAATAGTGGAGACCACATTCTCTATAATATGTTTCCAGTATGACATCAATGTCTCTCATCGTCAATTTATCATCATATGCACAATTGTCCTGGAGAGGTCCCTGGTGATAACAGAGGTCGATGGATGGACTATACAGCAAATTCTCTGATATATTCTAATAATGAAATGCCACAGAATACCATCATACTGGGCCACAGCACATATATGTGGCTATCAACAATATTGCCTTTGAACAGCCACATATGCTTGAAAGTCAGCTATGGTGACAACCCAGTTGGTGGGTTGACATGGGTGAAAAGAAGGCATGAAGGCCCAAGATGTGAGGATTGGCAGAATGTCAATTGGACATGGAGGAGTATGGAAGGGAATCTCTCTTTGAGCCAAGGTGATGATGAGGGATTGAGAATCTGAGACCTACTTCTCTCTGACAATGACTAAGATGTCAAATGGAAAATATACCATGATGAGAATGCTAAAATCTGAGAATTTAAATGTGTAGACATTCCTGTCATGACTGGTGATAATGCTGAATTTGTTGATGGAGCGACTGACAAATTGGACATTATGCAGGTCCATATCCCACACATGGGGTGGCACATTGCATGACATTGCATGATCAAAAAAGAAATGGCAGGCATCAGCATCAACAGTAGGCATTTGAATGAGAAGAAGCTGACAACAAGCAACAGTTGATGAAGTGTTATCTATACTCAGACAAGAGATGATGCTAAACTACTCATGAAGCATGGAGTCCACGGTGTCAACGGAAGCATACAGAGAAATGTTCATAAGAGTGAAGCCATCCATGATGATCTCACCATCTTTAAGACCATCACAATGAACACTGTCATCACCATGGCTGCCACTGCTAGATGATGCAAGAGGTGCATCATGTTTATGTTCTTCAATGACAATGCTGTTGTTTACAACATTGATGTGATCATTGCTAACATCGCATGTGCTTTGAACCACACTGTGTGTGAAGCGTGCTTGCTGGTGGCCATCATTGATGAGAGTCATATGCTCAGTATCACCACCATGTGAACCACATTGCAGGACATCCAAGCCATGAGATGATAAGGATTCTGCAAATGAATTAGAAGATAAATGTGACATAAGCAGCATGAGATACCAAGAAACTCAGGATAACCTACCAGAAACTGCAAATGCGAAAAGATGTGATGAGATGGAAGGAGGTGAGACATCAGCCATGGTGATGGCACAGAACATGTCATTGACCACTGTAAATGAGAGCAACCAAGCAGAAAGGATCAGATTAGAGAGAGGTGCACCAATGTTATGCAGAAAATGAAGTGTAATGGACATGGATAGGCAAGAATGAAACAGAGTTGTTAGAACAAAAATGAATGATGTTAATGGAAAGACATACCAGATAAGTCTGTGACAGAGCACCACAGCATGAGCTCATAAATGGCCTGATCCTCACCAATGATGACAGATGCTGTCTTGCCATCATGATTCATGTACTCCATCAGACCTTGCTTGTTGTCATTGACACAAATGTTAGCATCCTCAGATAGAACAAGTTCTAGCCTGTTGCTGGACACTTCTGTGTGATGATCACTATATGTACAGGCAAGGAGCGAACACAGGCATTAGAACAGAAAGGAATAATGTTAATGAGATGACATACTGAGTAAGTCTGTGACAGAGCACTGTGGCATGAGCTCACGCATGATCTGGTCCTTATCAATGATACCACTTGACAACACAAACTCACAAGAGACAGAAGATGTCTTGCCATTGCAGTTCATGTTCTCAAGAAGATCTTGCTGATCATCATGATGAACCCACTATGCAGAGCCAGATGCTTAACTGACTCGAACAGAAACATGATCATCAGATGAGCTGTCTAGCATGCTGTTCACAATGTTGAGCAGCTGAATGGGCTGTTCATCAGAGGTGTCAAGCAAAGTGACAGTGAAAAAATCATCAGGGAGGGGTGATGCAGGTTGACAGATGGAAGCTGGAAAGGAGGGACATAGAGCTTGTATATCCCATGTGCATGGGTGAGCTCAATGCAAGCAATGTCAAATTCTATCCTATCCTTTCATCAGAAAGGTCAATTTCATCATATCTGCCATTGTGACTTTCATTGTTGAATTAGTGTATATATCCCATTCATCCAACACATCACTGTGAATGAATGATCACAGCTGTCAGTGATGATCCTTCAACAACTCATACAACTGGTAGGCAGGGATATTGCAATGAACACGAGTGTATGAGTTGTCATCCTGCTCTCACTTGAAGACATTGGTGTTTGTTTGAGACCTGAGCTGCCCATGCTTACATTTTCACATAGCCTTATGATCTTTGACCATCTGTCGCAGTTTCATCAGAGTAGGAGCAATGTGCCGAGTGATGGTGTGAAGCTGACTACCAACACATCATTTGATAAAAATTTTGCGATCATCAGCATGGTGGTGGAAAAATGTCTGCCATGATTCATCAGGATCTGGATCATGAAAGTTGAGAGGTGCATGTTGAGATGCATCACTAGATGATGGCTGTGTTGAAGATGGTGCGAAATTCTAAATTACCAGATTTTCAGGTGATTCATGTAAGCAAAAATACTTGACAGTGGTGAGAAACTTGTTGATGGTGCCCAAGCATGAGGGTATGCAAAAGTGTCTAGGATCCATGTCAAGGTTGCCAAAATCAAGGTAGAGTGGGATATCAGATGACAGAATGGTTGAAAGTAGAAAATCATGATAATAATCATTGTCAGAGTGACAAGAGACATTCCATATCACTCTAGCCTCAATAGAAAGATTCTGAGGCAGATGACCTGAATGACTGAAGATGCTTTATATATTTTATAAGGAGTTCATAAAGAGGATGTCCAGGACCTGTGATGACAAGGTTATCATATGACACATTGTGTTCATGAAGAAGCCTAGCATTCAGCATGGACACCAGTCTGAGAAGGGCCTGAAATGCATGTTTTGTGTGGTGCAGTGAGTCTTTCATGCTCTTTTTGTCATTGTAAATGTGCTGATATCCAAATTCTAAGACCTAAGAAAATATGGGCAAGGTGGACAGTGGTAATGGTAGTACTAAGGCTGCAAGAAGTAGTACTAACATTGAGACCTAAGTATTAACCTTTATATTCTAATATTGGCTTAGTGAAGAATGATAATGATGTGACATAATCACAATATGTTCATTATATTTGATGTGAAAATAATGAAAAAAGATTTTAAAACTTCTTATTATAAGTTTGTCTTAAAGATTAACAATGATTGAAAAAATGATTGCTAATATGTCATCCAATCTTTTTTCAATCTTTTCATCATCTTTAACAAGAAAAGATGTTAATAATATTTTGAATCCTTTTATCACAATTTGACAGTAAAAATGGTAAAAAGATTTCAACTTTTTCTTCAATACCTTTACCATCTTTCACCTCAAATTATTGATTGTTTCACCCAGTGACTAGTACTAAACAGTACCAATGTTGCAAGGTTAGCACTAAGGTTCAAATGTTAGATTTCTTGACAAACTTTTGTTTAGTTTCTTGTTAATTGTAGTTGTTGTTGCTCATTATTGTAATATTACTGATATTATTTACCTGTATTTTTGATGAGCAGAATTTACTTTTGTGAATTAAAGTTAAAAGATAATGCATATTTTGTGCCATCAACCTTAATATTGATATTAACATATCTCTGAGACATTTTATTTAAGAACTCATGCCAACACCAGATTTGCATTAATTTTATGAACCTAATTATAATAGCAGACCTGATGATCATTAGAATCACTACTAAGAATCATTACTCTTTGAAGGCTTCAAAAGTGCAGACAATATATGCATTGCTATTCTAAGCATTTTGGTCAAGTTTTTGCAAAAGCCACAATCTGTCCTAATTAGCACATGTTTATTACCTTTTGTACATTTCTAAGAAATTAGGGCTCACAGAGACAATATGTTCAAATTTGAGCATGTAGACTATATGCTCTGACAAATAAACAATAATGACAAAACAGGTATGCATGATAGCACCTGAGCATCATACAGTTACTGAGATTTTTGCATAGATGACTTTGCAATTCTGTTTGTGACCCAGACAAACATTGCAAAATCATGATAACAATATGCTTGATAAGAAAAGAATGGTAAATATTTCAGAACTTTTGTTATAACTTTGTTTAAAAGATTGTAAAATGATTAAAAATAATGATTAATACTTTGTCAATCTCTTTTCAATCATTTTAGCATTTTTTACAAAAACAGTGTTACAACATTTATATATACTTTGATCACAAATAGTAAAGATACCAAAAAGGCTTAATCTTTTATTCAATATCTTTATTATCTTTTATCCTAAATTATTGATTGCTTCACCAAGTGAGAATTAGAAATCACTACTAGGATGATATTTGCACTGTTAAGTTTAGCATGTAGGTGAAAACTGATTATACCTTTTGGCGAACTGGCTTATACTATTTGTTTTGCTAAAACTAATGTTGTAAATGATGTGAAGGCTCAGAGTGCTCATGTAGAATTTTAATGTGTTACTAAAGCTGAGATAGTGAATAGAGCCAACTACAAAGAATGATTGAAAGAGTTCAAACAATGCATTCATGAGAGAAAAAGGGTTTTCATCTAAGCTAACTAAAATTTACTTGCTCATTTCAGGCACTGATGTGATTGATATAGCAGCATTTTTGATAAAGTACATCAAATTGCTGAGGCTGATGTTTTTTGCATGGCCACACATACCTTTAAATAATTGTTAAAATTACTTAGTTTGGTCATTCATTATTGAGCATCTGAAAATGTTGTTTCTCTTTTCTTCAGATTAGGCAAATCACCTTTAATATATGCTTAATTGTTATATCTCTTATATTTTTATTGCTTTATAAGTTCACTGTCTAGTTTCACAGTTGTACATGCATTGTCATTCAATATAATTATCTGACATTTTGTGTGTTGATGTGTTGATAATGCATGCGCAGTAATGCTTATAAAAACTTCTTATACTGAAACCATTATCATTTTGTGCTTTAATGAGATTTTGCTACTGCTACTGATGTTAAAACTGCAGAAGTCCACTGCCAACAGCCTCAATTGCCAACTGCTTCTTTATTGCAGATGCAACAAACCATCCTGTATTCAGCCTCTTGTTCTCAGCTGCTTAATCTCTGTTATCTCATGTTGCACATATGACTCAGATCAATTACTTCCATAACTGGTGCCATTTTGTCCTTTTTTAATTATTGTCTTGTCAGTACTCAATGGTCAGGCATTTCCATCATGCATCACCTTCTCACTGTGATTAGATTATTTTTAATCCTCTACAGACACTTATGCTGCTTGAAAACCCATCTGAATGAAATAATCAACGGCTTGAGGTGAAAGATGATAAAGATATTGAAGAAAAAGTTTAAATGCTTTCAGCATCTTTACCATTAATTTATAATAAAAGGATTCAAAATATTTTTGATATATTTTTAATCAAAGATGATGAAAACATTGAAAAGAGATTGAACAAAATTTTAATGATCATTTGTATAACCACTTTTTAAACAAAGCTACAATCAAAAGTTTTCACATCATTTTTCATTTTTGCTGTCAAAGGTGCTGAACATATTGTGACAATGTCACATTATTGTTATCCTATATTTAGTCAGTACTAAAATATGAAGGCTGATACTCAGGTTCAAATATGAATACTGACCTTCAGACCTTAATACTAGCTTAGTACTACCATAATACTATCTTCTAAGGTTACATCTTTTTTCTTGTCAAAGATGATAAAAAGATTGAAAAGAGATTGAATGAAACATTAGCAATCATTTTTTCAATCATTTCACAATTTTTAAATGTATTATTATAAAAGGTTTAAAAACCTTTTTTTATTTTTTATGTCAATAGTACGAAGATATCTATCATTATATGCTAAGCTAGTACTAGAATATGAATGTTAATACTCAGGTCCATCCTAACATTTGAACATTAGTACTGACATTCAGATCTTAATACTAGCTCAAGAGTGGACACTAGCCCAGCTGAGCCTGGTTGAAAAATTTCCCATCACCTACTCTTCTTTTCATATTCTATGGCTTATATTATAGCTAAAAATTACTCTCTTCAAAATGATGATGTACCAGTGAGATGAACATTAAATATGAGCCTGCACATAAGCATACAGCTGCATTTTGTAGCAAGCTCAATTTGCCTGAATAATGAACTGATTGAAGACTGTATCCACATCTTGTTGATCAATCAGATCTATAAAGTGAGTTCAGCTCAGCTAAAGGTTTTGCTACATATGTAGCTCAGCAGATCTTATTGCAGAAAAGTCACTAGAACTTCATTGAATAACCTAACCTTTCTCATCAAGTGAATGGTTTTGAAAAAGGCTTGAAAAAGGTGCATTTCACACCTTTTCTGAGCAAAAACTTGATAAAAAATGATGGCCAAAGACCAGCCACCACATTCATATTGCACCACTACTAAGACTTTAGGTTACAAATGAGCAAGGTACACTCACATCTATCTATCCCTTTTATACTATGTCACTTTAGGACAGGCAGTGCAGCTCACACATCTGATGCTTTCTGAACTCCAAAAGCCAATATGCCCCCTTGAGCCAGACACCATTTCAGCCTTACCCAGCATCACAGTGTCCTACCACATTTCTAGAGCATCCTGGCTATAGGTGCTTCTTTCCAATGCCCTGCCTCAGCCTGCATCTTCATCATCCTGACCATCTAACCTGGCCCAGTTACACCCACCACCTTGCCTTAGCTCACAGCTTGCCTGCTTTAGCCTCAGCTCCTTTTGTTCCTGCGTCTCACCCCCTTATCTAGCCTGACACTTTATGTGTGATCTTGCATTGACATCATC